TATTATTAGATATATTATTATAAACATGCTTTAGTTAAGGAGTTATTGATACTTCAAGTGCAAAATGATGATATAAAACCTTGATAAAAATGCACTTTTAAGTACTAATCAAGATGCAAACTTGGCTTGAAGGTCATGATCTTTCCTAAGGTTGTACATATCTCCACTAGATATATGAGGTTGAGTTTTACTTGGTGCCTCATATGTACCCGCGGTGTCCCAATTTTGAGCATTTTCAGCTAACAAGTCTAAGTACTCTATTGCTTCATCGGGGTCTTTATCTTTAAAAGTTCCATTGCACATCAATTCAACCATTTGTCTATCTCTAGGTGTTAACCCTTCATAAAAATATAAAACCAATCTCCATGTTTCAAAACCATGATGTAGGCAAGTACTAAGCAAGTCTCGATACCTATCCCAACATTGGTAAAATGTTTCTCCTAGTTTTTGAGTGAAAGTGGTGATTTGTCTTTTGAAAGAGTTTGTTCTATAAGATGGGAAAAACTTCTTTAAAAACTGTTGTTGCATTTCATCCCAAGCACGAATGGATCCTAGTCTCAAATTTTATAGCCATGTTTTAGCTTTATCTTTTAATGAAAAAGGAAAAAGCTTTAATTTGATGGTGTTCATGCTAGAATTTAAATTATTATATGTGTTGCAGACCTCCTCGAATTCCTTTAAATACAAGTATGGATTTTCCAATTCTAAGCCATGAAAAGAAGGTAAAAGTTGAATAATATCTGGTTTAAAATTAAAATGAGATGCATCAAGAGGAAATACTATGCATGATGGTGCACTTGTTCTTGTGGGATTCATGTGGTCTCTAAGCGTTCTAGCACAGTTATTTTTATTATTCTCATTATGAAGTGATTGATTATCTTCTTCGGTGATTAGTACTTAAAAGTGCATTTTTATCAAGGTTTTATATCATCATTTTACACTTGAAGTATCAATAACTCCTTAACTAAAGCATGTTTTATAATAATATATCTAATAATATAAGATACCTTTAATTTGTGGTAAATGTTCATTTTAAATGCAGGCCTATCACATAAATGAAAGGATTGATTGATGAATTTAAGAACAGAAATTGAAAGGAAAAAGAGATGGCCAAACTTAGAAAAGAGATGTCGGTGCAATCCAAACCGGAACAGTGTTCGGTAATTAGATCATATCTTGAGCTATAGATCTCAGATTTAGGTCTACTTTATATGGATAGAAAGGTAAGACATAGGCCTACAACTTTTATATGGAGCCGAAGATCTAAAAAGGCAATTTTCAAGTCCAAATTGTAGTAACAAAAAAGAAGCCCGAATCTGTCCTCCAGCCCGACCGCTATTTAGTATTTTGGCCATATCTAGAGTTATAGATGTCAAAATGAGCTGAATGTTTTACACAAGAAAGCTGAGACAATTTCCTACAACTTTCATGTTTTCAAGTGGCTCTAAGTTTGAATTTATCAATGATGTTTAGGGCAGACAAGAGAAGATAACGATTGTCACCAAGTCAAGAGTTGGTCACCCACTCATCAATTAGTCATCAAATCAATAGTTCCCAATTTTGGCCTATAAAAGGAGGCATTTGCCATGCATTTAGGCATCTTAGTCTCTAGATCAAGATCATGCTCTTGCTTTCTCTCTTTGTATTTTTTTGTAATGTTTATACTTTGCTTTCATTAATATCAAGTTTATGCCTTTCATTTCCTTTCATTTACTTAGTTAACTTTTATCTTATTTATATTCTTATTTTGTTTATTTATTTTTCTTTGTTTCATTATGTCTAGCTAAGTTTATTATGTCAAGGTTAAAAGGTTACACTAATGGTGTAAGAATAAGTATAGTATAAACTTAATATGGACTTTAATGTTTGATACTAACATGTTTTGTATTTGTTATCTTGTTCACTCTTTAATACTTTGCTTGTTAAATGACTAATCTTGATTTATGTTGTATAACACTTGGTACAACAAATGCTTGGCACTTTCATAGGCCATACTGTATGGTATAACCGACACTTGAGCTATGAAAGGAATTTGATTTGTTGTTAACATAAGTTATAATCATGAATGCTTGACGAGATTTACAAATGTTAGCATTAATCAAATAAGATGACTAATGTAATCATGTTAACAATCTATAATCTGATTGGAACCTCCTTTGTGTGTGTTGTTTTCAATTGAATAATAAAAGTTTATACTATACTTGTTTGACATACCATTTGTGGATCCTGTAACCTTGACATTGTTTGTTATCATTGTTTAATCCTTACGTTAATTTTCCATCTCAAAGTTCTCATCAACTTTTCTTCTTTTTCTTCTCCTTCTTTTTCTTTATTATTATTGTTATTATTATTATTATTATTTAACAGTGTTCCGGTTTGGATTACACCGACATCTCTTTTCTAAGTTTGACCATCTCTTTATCCGTGCAATTTAAGTTCTTCAAGTCATCAATCAACCCTTTCA